AACGAACCCGAAACACTTCGACATCTGGTTGATGGATTACAAAGTTGCACAGTTAAATTTTTTGTTGTTTCATCTTCTAATTTTCATTTCTAATTAATAATATAGGATCTAGCTACAATTAAATTGGTTTCGATGAGTTTAGGTGATGTAGGAATGCAATATGTAGCTGAAGGTTTACAAAATAACACGGTATATTTGTTTATCTCTTATTTCTATTTTCAATTTTTATCACATAGACATTGGTTGAAATCAGTTTTTCAAACACTGAATTGGGATCTGAATCAGTACGAATTTTGGCTGAAGTTTTAGGAAAAAATACCGTAAACTTCTTTCTCTTGTTATGTTTTTTATTTCCAAATTGAATTTTTTGTAGGCATTGACCACTCTCGTTCTCAGAGAGAATAACATTGAAGGTGATGGAATTCAACATTTAGTTAATGCCTTAAAAAACAACACAGTCAATATATTTATTTATTCATCTCGTTCATTTTCATCTTGATTTTTTTTGATACAGACACTCACTAATTTATGTCTTACATCGAACCAGATCGGAGATGAAGGAGCAAAGCACTTGTGTGATCTTATACGAAATACCACAGTATATATATATCTTTTATTAATTAGATTTATCTCATTTTCGTTTGTATTTTTGATATAGACACTTACCACACTCGAAATTGGTAACATTGGTATCGGAGAAGAAGGAATTCGGCACTTAGCTGATGCTTTAAAAACTAATAATGTGAATCTATTAATTTATTTTACTGTTTTATTTTTAAATTGATTTATTTTTTCAGACAATCACAACACTCGACCTTGGTCTTAATAAAATCAAAGATGAAGGAGCCGGATATTTAGGTGCTGCTTTACGTGATAATAAAGTAAATTGCTTTTTATGTCTCTTAACCGTTCTTATTTCCATCATTATTTTTTCATATAGACACTCGATAAATTGGATCTTGGATCGTGTGAAATCGAAGCTGAAGGAGCCCGACTTCTAGGCAATGAATTACGAAATAATAAGGTTACCCCCTTTTTCTTTTCGTCTCTCTTATATTCATATATTGAATTTGTTGTATAGTCACTCACCAGTCTCAAGCTTTCCGGAAACAGCATCAAAGACGAAGGGGTTCAACATTTGCTTCATGCTTTAGAAAATAACATTGTAAATCTTTTTCTTTATTTATTTTGTCACGTAGTTTCATATGGAATTTTTTTTTATTCAGATACTCAATGACCTTGATCTTGCTTGGACTGAATTTGAAGAAGATGGAACAAAAGCGATTGATGCTTATATGGAAAAGACAGGATGTTCTGTTTTTAAGGGATTTTGATTCTTAGATCGACATTACACAATAACGAACAAAACTTTTTGAAATTCTATTTTTTTTTCTAATCATTATTAGATTATAGTTATTATTTATCTTAAACTAACATATTTTATCTAAATAAATTAATAATATCAATTACATTATATAGTAATATTTTTTATAATTTCATTTTTTTAAATAATAAAATACAGCTAAAAGGCAGCAAGATATTAGCGTAACATGATATTGTCTATGACTTTGTATGTCTTTTTTGTCGACGTTGTTATTATTACGTGAGACAGTCTGTGAAAGCAGCTAGTTATCTAACTAAATCTTTATTAGATCATAACGATGAATACAATGACTGGGAATAGGATACAAAAAAAGTTTCTGTTCTGTTCCTACGTTATATTGTTGGTGGTGGAGGTGTGACTAGCATTCCAATAGGACTTATCGCTGTTGTAGATTCCATATTCAAAATAAAATTTTCAGGAATATAATTATATGGTGATGCTACATTTGTTAACGCCGTTTCTGCATCGTGATTAACTTGATTCGATGCTGTTGCTTGTCTTTGTTGACCTAAAAATAAATTAGAATTAATTGCTACTGCTAACTGAGAAGCAAAAGCATAATTAAAAGTATTACCTGTTACACAATTAGCCGCCTCTATCAATGATTTATTGATAAAATTTGTTACGCTTCGTATCCAGTTATCCACATTTCTAAAACTTCATAAAATATTATATAATAATATAATATCAAAAAACAACTTGATATTTACGAATTAATTACCCATCTGGATATTAATTCGCAATGGCGATCCAATTCGCTATTAATCTAAATAGAAAATATTTTCATAAAAATTACATTCGTAAAAAAACTACACTAACCCAGATTGAGCAATCCGACCCGGAAACGGTCGGTTCCAAACAGTTTCACAGATCTCATAGCAGTAGTATTCGGATGAATGGATCCGGTCATTGGATTCTTGACATTTCCCTGCTGATTTTAGTTAGAAACGGTATGGGTGTGGATGTGGGTGAGGGTGGGAGTGAGTGTGTTGAATGTAGATGAATTCATATATTCAACTAAGGCACACACCCACACCCTCAACTTGTACAAAATATGTATAGCTTATTATTCTCAATGAAATCAATATGTAATTGAATATTTTGTAATATGAATAAAAAAAATTGTTCCCATTTAATTTCGATAGATGTCCTTCATTTTTATTTAACGATATAAATAGTATATGGGAAGTAGATTAAAAGTTATGAGAAATATTTTTGATGTCTATTATAAGTATTTAAGATAAATCGTTTTCAAAAAGATGATATTTATTATTAGAATTGAGAAAATATTTATGTAAATCAACTTTCGTTTGACTTGTTATTTTATTTATTTACTTACTTATTTATTTTAATAGAGCAATATGATATGTTACTAGAAACAAAGATCATCTAGAAATAAAAGATTTCTTGTTTCTCGTACCTGTACTGCAAACAAAATGTTTTCCTTCTAGTTTTCACAAAAATAGAAATTATCATGCATGTTATGTTGAAATTGAAATATGTTACTCTATGCCACAATAGAACTCATAAACTTTTTCATAATGAATGCTACTAATTTCATCATTCTATACTAACAAAAATTAACAATGCTCACATATTTCCATATAAAATAAATGATCGTCCTTTGTATAAAAATGCGGGCATAATATGATAACGAATATTTCATATTTAACAGCTGTTTTTTCTATCGATCTAAATATATAATATCAGATATTTGAGATAGTTATGAGTTACATAACCATGTAGTCATAATTCTATAAGTGTTTCTCAAATGCATCATAATAGTAATATGAAATCCAGTATCTTGAGGGTGTGAATGGGTCTCAGCTTCTTTTACTCCCTACCACACCTACATCCTCCAGATGGGTTACAGCCGTTTATGTGACATGGGAAGACTGGCTATGAACATACAATAATTCAAATTTAGATTTTAGAATAGTTGTCAAAGTCTGCCGCTTGCACAATTCTGAAAAGAGCTCTCGAAGCTACCTCTCTTTCAGCCGAACTACTTTGAATAGTCTGTATGCTTTTTAGTGTCGGATATATTTATTCGAATAAGACTTTCAGTAAGATACAAATTAATTTCTAGGTTCTAGTGGTAACCAAAGCTGGCACGTAAAATCGAACACCGATAGCGAGGTATTGATCACACCCGATGTACCATTTGCACCTAATTCTCCCAAAGTGCCTGAGGAAATAGAATTCCATCCAGGTCCTCCACTTGGATCTAAAGAGATCAATCGTTTTCTAGTTACTTATTGAATAACGTGACCTAGAAAAACTAACTTTTAGCAAAATTTGCCCATGCTGTTTGCATAAAATTCGATAGTTGAATTTGCTGTTGTGTTGCGCCATGTTGATTATATGTTCCAAAGATCTAAATAGAATTTCAATAAAAAAATCTTGCTATTCATTGCTTTTTGCACATTATTTAGGCTGACCTCGAATATTTCTGACGAGTGGTAGGCTCGAAGACCGGGAAGAGGTTGTTGATTGGGGAAGTAAGCATTATAGACATAACGCCAAATGGGTTGGCCAGTAGATTTAGCAGCATCATTGGCAACTGCTGAGATTGGACAGCCAAAGATATCTTGAGGGTGTGGGTGTAGATGTAGCTATCATATTTATATCACATTCACACCCATACCCACCCTACAAAAGGCAATGATGTAATTCCATTTTATACCATCCTTGAATTTGAACAGTAGCAATCATCAATACTGAATTCACAAAAATGGAAATGAAAATACTACAAAGGTTTTCTATTTTGTTCTTCATCTGAAACTAATAAATAAATATATTTATTCGAAATATTAGCTTTGGGTACATCAACAGCTGAAGAAGCACACGAATATTCTCCTAATATGAATCGTCATCATATTATATTGAAATATGATTCAATAAAAGAACACAATTAGTATTTAATAGTACATTAAGTGATGATCTTAAAGATCAGATTAAATGACATATAGAAGATGTGAATCAACGATGTGAACAAAATTTATGAATAATTATTTATATAGAAGAGATACAAAACAGATTAATTTCAATCATTTTATTAATAAAGAACTTGCTCTTTTTTTTGCATCCAAATCAAGTATTATAATAAATTAATAAGAAATTAAAACCTCTTCTTTTTCTTTTAAATTCTTTTATTTTTAAAGGATGGTCGTAAACCTGACCAACACAAAATAATCTTTGTATGTTTAGTGTCTTTATTCATCATCATCATCATTATCATCACCGATTTTTGGTGGCGGAGGTATGATCAGCATCCCGACAGGACTAGTCGCTGTTGATGAATGCAGATCAAATATAAAGTTATCATCAGTAGGAACATATGGTGACGGTTCATTTGTTGACGTAGTTTGTGCATCAACATGAGTAGCTGCTGGTGTTGATGCTTGCTGAACTAAAAATATATTAGGATTACTTGTTGCTGCTGACTGAGAAGCAAAAGCATAATTAAAATTATTACTTCTTATACGATTCGGAGCATGTAAAATTGTTTCATTTATAAAACTTGAAATTGAGTGTATCAAGTTATCCAAATTTCTAAAACTTCATAAAATATTATATAATAATAAATATCAAAACAACTTGATATTTACGAAGTAATATTACGTTTATCAATTAATTCAATATGTCGATATGGAACTTGATTCATCTGAACAGAAATTATTTATAAAACTGATTATAAATTCAACAAAAACTTACATTAATTATAAATTCAACAAAAACTTACATTAATTATAAATTCAACAAAAACTTACATTAATTATAAATTCATAATCATTTTCTTTGAATGTGTGCATGACTGTCACAACTAACTGGTCTTTTCGATAATCTAGTGCCAAAATATCAAATGACCGGTTTTCAAACTTCAAAATTCCACCCTAAAATTAAAATATAAAATATGAAAGGCAGAAAACAATTCCTACTAATCCAGATCGAGCAATCCGACCCGGAAACGGTCGGTTCCAAACAGTTTCGAAGATCTCATAGAAACAGTATTCGGATGAATGGATTCGGTCATCGGATTCCGGCGGGTTTTAGCTGGTAATACACAGCCAAGATATTAAAATGTCGATTGCTGAATTGCAAAATCACTTCCTAAAACTAAGGTATAAAAAAGAAAACAGACAGAAAACAATTCCTACCAATCCTTCACCAGCATCATCGACTAGGAAACCCATTTTCATCAAATAGTAATGAGCTGTTATGACGAATTTAACTAATTCATTTCTCATCTTGTCTTTGTACAGCACAAAAAGTGGAGACAAAATAATTGCGTTTCCAGACATAATTGACATTGATTTTTAATCTTAAACAAACACACATTTAATTTGAAAATTAAATAAATATTTTTATTATAATCAAAAAGAAACCTAAGTGTTACCTTGAAGCTCATAACGACCGCAACTGAACGCTGCATTGGGTTCGGATATGTTTTGCAAAAGTGCCTGGGCAGGTTTGTCGCAGTACGCAGCTACCAAAAATATTTTTATGGTGCTATTTTGCTTGATTGTTGTTTTTTAGTAATCGATAAAAGTAAATCCTCGGTCCAATAGAAGTAACTATTCAACTACTGGAGAGAGTGAAGAATAATTCAATTTTTAATTTAGAAGGTTTATGCGTCGCTGGCCAGATACCACCAATAATAGTATTTTCAAGAGCATAACGTTGATTCAGTGGAAGTTCATTTATCACGAAAAGAATGGGTCATATTGATCTTTTCGATCCTTGTTTAATTTTTATACCATCTGTGTTCATTGTTAGGGTAAGAAAAAGACCAGGAGAGGTCATCTTCAATTGCTGAGAAATGCTACCATTGTAGATGTCGTTAATATTGTTATTTGTAGATGATGAAATAGGATTAATAGAACAATTGTTGTTTAACATAAGCTGTAGTTGATTTCTCATCTAAAGAATTAAGAAACTATGCTGACACTCTTCCGCTGAGAAGTGTTGGTCACAGTTTGAGAAAATTGATGAACTGGTTAGTGCAGACAACCAGTGTGGAAATGAGATGAAATACATAAATGTTGAATCACCTGCTATAATTAGACTTTTTAGTTGATATTATGAACGAGGTGCGTCATTCACTCCAAAAATTAATAATAATATTAAAAGATCAGAAATACATTGAATGGAAAGTTTATGACGGTGTTTGAAGACAACCTTTTACTGCGTTATCGAATATTGAAAAATAGCATATATGTGGATGTGCGAGATCATGAGGAATAAGAATATATAATTTGAATTAATTTTAACTCTTATATTAAAAGGAAGAGATATCTCATGAATGCTATGTTTAAGGATTCTGATTATTTTTATTGTACTTATAACTTTTTTGAGCTCTATCAGATGATATATGAATGAGATAATTTAGAGAACTGGTTTGTAATAGCTTCTGATACTACATAGTACTACTCTACGCAAAACAAGAATACAACATGTAAAAAAAGGGTGTGGGTTTGGACGATGTTTTTAAAATAAAAAAAATATTCACACACCATCACTCTTATACTTATAATGATTCGAGTTATACTTGCTGTTCCACATAGAATCTTTATTTTGATGTTATTTTCTAGCAATTTGTCTAAACATCATTTCTGAATTGCTTGTAGTACGATGTGTGTATCATTATTTTATTTCAATACAGTGAATCGCTTAAAACATTTGGAATGAAATTAATAAACTGCTGATCATCATCAAGAAAAGAACGTAATACACCTGTAGTGAAACTTATGCATAATGACTGGAATAAAATGTTTTTACAGTGAACAGATGGAATATATAACACACTTTTTAAAATGCGTATAAATTAATACCAAGAACGTATTCACCAGGAAATTTATTTGTCATATGTAAAAGAAAACTAAACTAATATGATCGTACGTGCTCTTTATTTTTGTACTAAATGACAATTAATCTTTTGATTGACATGAAGTTTAAAATTTCTATCATCTCTTAAACGACACAACTCATATTATCAAATAAATTTTTTACATAAAAGATGACTGTGTAATTTAAATTATTTTAAGTGTTAAAAGAAAGGTCCGTGAGTTCCTTCTTTAGTTTCTACGTCAATTTGTTTTTTTGCTAGCTACAACATACATAATGACAGGCATGTTTCTTTTGAAAGAAAACTAAATTAATATGTTAATACTCAATGACAACATATTATCACATTTGTAACATACAAATAATTTGAAAGGATTATATATTTATTATCCTCTCTTTTGTCATGCTCATTATAATTAATAATAAGTGCAACATTTGTTTTTCTTTTTTCTTCAGCAATGATAATAGATTACAATAACTCATCTACAATAAACATTGAATCATGGTTTATTCCTTTGAATATTAGCATGATCATATGTCTTATTTTAGTCATTATTCTCGCTACAATATTTTTATTTATTATCGTCATGGATAAAACATGTCATACAGTTCCAATGATGCTTGTTGCAAATTCATGTTTATCTGCACTACTATGCGCAGGTGATATTCTTTGGATAAATGTAACTACATTAATAAATGATGTTCAACAAATTGAATATCAAAATTTATTTTGTATTTTTTATGGTTATTTAACTTATGTTTCATGTGCTGTACTTAATTATTCATTTTTATTACAAGCTTTCTATCGATATATGATTGTTGTTTATCCAACACGTTTATTTTGGCAACTACCACAAAGTCAACTATTACTTATTGTTTTAACATGGATATATGCACTGATATTTCCTACTGGATTTATATTTACCGGTGACATTATTTATAATATGGACAATCAAATATGTCAAATACCTCTTCGATTTTCATTCGCAATCATTTTTGCAGTATCATGCGTCTATATTATTCCTGTTTCGATAACTATGTTTATTTATTATAAATTAGTTCGATTTATTCATCAAATGAATCAGCGTATAATACCTGTTAATACTTTGGTTCGTGCACGAAGAGAATTAAAAATGTTTCGTCGCACAGTTACATTGTTAATGATTATATTTATACTTGATTTCCCGTATGCATTATTTATTTTTATGTCATTTTTTAATGCGGCTCCAAAATATCATTTTCGTATTGCTTATATATTTATTGATATTGCATTGGCATGTGTAATGATTGTTTTATTTCAATTTACAGATCCACTTAAAACATCAATTTTGAAAAAATTAAATATAGAATTAGAAATGGTTGCACTAACAGAATCATGAATTAATAACATGAAAGATCGAAATTTAATTGTATACTTTTTTTTAAATAAAAATATTCATGTCGTAGCGTCTTTTTTAAGAGTTAGCACCGTGTCGAAGATATTCATTAGACGTCAATGAATTACAACTATATATCAAACTAACTGGTCTCTAATAATTAGTCGTTGTTTCTATCCAAGTATAAATGTTCTCACTAGGACAATTTCCTACCTGATCTTGAAGTGTTGTATACAATAAATATCAAAGAATAAAGTAGAATGCAAACGAAAACCTACTGACAGATCAAAAATAACAATAATAATAAAATGATTAGAACGACAAAACACAAACTATATATATATAAATAGTGAACGAGAAAAAGGAAGAAGAGATCAACAAGATAAAGAACAAATGTCTTTATAGTGTCATCTGCTGACGCGAATAGAGTCTATTTCTAAAGAGCTACTAGATATAACATAGAGGATAAGATGAGGACAACACACAGAGAACAGATAACAAAATTGTTCACAAGATGCCATAAATGAATTATAAAATAATTCAAGACCTGTTGATATTTACATGTATCGAAAATATAGATGTTTTGAATTATTTTGTAGTTCGTTTCCGTTATGAACTCAATACCTGCAAGCATCTATTTTCTAGAGTCGTCGATCATATTTATTTTATGTATCAATTTTCGTTGTTCAAGGGTGTATGCGATATATGAAATATATTAGTGTGAAATATTACTCGCTCATTATGTTCTCTATCACTACTTTCTTTCATTTACTTGTTTGTTCTATCCTTCGTCAAATACAAGATGAGGTATCTTCTATTTGAAAAGAAATTTAATTATAAGGATTGTACATGAAAGGTATATATTTGTCATTTTTTCAATCCACTTCTCCTTGATATCTATACATCTACGTTATCAATAAATATTAAATAATTTTATTATTAACTTGATACGCTTGAAACAAATAATATCTATATCATTGATTACTCAGAAAAACAAAACAGGAGGAAAAGAAGAAATGACTGTTTATTCTTGTTCTGTACTTCTAGAAGAAAATAAAATAATAACTAATCGTCAAGGTCTTTTCTTCTTTCCTACTATCAAAGACTATAAATATCTCTTTGTACAGCAACGACAACAAAACTACTGTATATTTCTGTATATAGCTGAATTTGTCTCTTCTTTTTCTTCGACATCAGTTTCTTTTCTTATTCTCTAAATCTGACGCTATACGAAACAATTATATAACATAACTTCTTGTGACAAAAATAAAATTATCGAGTGAAACTAAAAGAACATGTCGGAGAGTCCGGAACCACCAAAAACTAAATTAGTTCAATGTCAGCATGAATTCCAAGAAAAATTACATGAGATGCAAACACCACCGCCACCTTTAATAAGATCTGCAAATAAGTTAGTATTCAAAAGTGACTTTGCTCTTATTTTTTGTTGTTTGAAATGATTAAGTTATTTTTCGTATTTCTAGTCAACACGAAACGGAGTATAATGTAATGGACGAAATTACTCGCGTTCATCGACTGATCAGAGCTCATGGAGAACAAGGTGATTTTGGAATGCAAATGAAATTCGGTAATTTAATACCAGTAAGTAAATAGAATAAGGATGTTTCAACATCGGAAATACTCATCTTATGACTTCTCAATTAGAATACGCATGTAGCTATATTTTCAAAGGCAAATGAATTGTTGAAATACTGTGAGATATGAGACTATCATGTAATCTAATGTTCTTGGATATTAACAAAAGTGTTTACATATTTTTTTTAGATCTATGGAAATAATCAAGTCGATAAATTAAGTGAAGTTTTGGCAAATGCACGTAAAAATGGTTTTGTTAGTTATACTCTCAAGGATTTCTTACAACAAGATCGAGATGAAGATATTTATATTAGATTGGTTAAAACACCAGTTTAATTATTGATGATGATTATTATACATTTTTTTAAAGACCATCAGTTTCTAGGCTTTATATATTATTATGCATGCTATTTTTTTCTGAATTCACGAAAAACAAGTTTAAAAAACCTGAGTCAAAGAAAATGTGTCGAAACACTTTTTCAATAAAATTTGAAAAATTGATAATAGTTAAGTAGACAAAATTAGATACAATAGGTCCACAAAAAGAATGTGTATAATTATCAAATTATGGCATTGCCAATACAGACAAAAAAAAGCGTTTGTTGCAAGATTAAAAATAGCTTAAATGCGTGCTTACGACACGTAAGATAAAATAACAGAAAACGAAAAAGTGAAAAAAAAAGAACGAAGAGTTCGACAAACTATTGTACACGATAACTTATGCCGTGGTTGGTCTAAAATTTGGCTTATAATCATTCGAATTAGTGACATATTCGACAAATTTCTCTTGCGTAACTCTAAAAATAAATTAAAATAAATGAGAAAAATAAAAAAACAATTAGAGGAACTTACTGGCCACTGCCATCATCGATTTGACTCCAATGATGTTCCCACGCTGTATTGTTAGCTGGTATTTGTGTATCATCTCTAATTAAGTATAAAAGAAGAAAGTTATTTATCGGATTCAAATGAAATAATAAGACAAGAAATACATACGCGTTAATTTGACTTAAACAATTGAACAACTCTTCGCCTTGTTCACGTGAGACATAACCTATAAATATATATGAAGAATAAGAAAAATTGTTAAAATATTAAAGAAAAATATATTTACCTGGTGTCGGATTATTGTTATCCATAATATAATTAAATCGATCACGAGATGATGTATCAGTTGTAGATGCACTCGAACCATTATCAAGTAACAAATAAGCATTGACAAAGTCTGTTAATAATATAATAAACATAAATATTAAATTTCTTAAACAATGGTATGTAAACTTTCAGTTACCTTCAAAGCTCAATTTTCCTTAAAATAAAGAAAGAAAATTATATAAAATAAATTAATGTAAACATAGTAAAATTGTACCTGATCCTTCTCTATCAAAAGCTTTGAATACATGATTTGCAAATTTATCTAAATCATGATCACTCCACATAATTGGAGCAGATGGACCGGTTCCTTCTGCATGAACTTGTCGACTTAGAAACATTTCCTTGTAGAAACGACGAAAATCTTTCTTGTCCATTCTATTGTCTTTTCCTGTAGATGTAATAAATTCTTGATAAAGTTTGTCGACTTTATCTCGAGGAATTTCTAAATTCATTAAATAATTTTTTGAAATTAAGAATAAAAAGAAGAGTTAAATATTTACTAGTTATATTGCTAAATCGATCTAAATCCCATTGAGTAAACTTTGCTTTTGAATGATTTTTACCCATTGTACACAATTGAATTGAGAGAAAGTATGTAGTTACAAAATTAAGAATGACTATCGTATATAAAATGCTTGCTTTTATATAATAGTCAATGACGCAATTCTCTTTTTTTACTTTACTTTTTTTTCAACTGGAAGCACTTTGTCAAGCGTTTCTAAGAATGACCGAGTACAAATGCAAATATATGCACGGTTCAGGCTTAAAATAAATTCTCGATTGTGATTCTTTTCACTATGCTAACAAGAGGAGAGAGAGCGAACGAGAAATTCATTCTTTTTGCGTTGATGATTACCTAGAGTGGTTGTTTATAAGAGAAAGAGGAAGAAAAAGAGAGTAAGACAAAAGTTCATGAAGTTTTTTTTTTATTTCTTGCTTTTATAAACAATTCAGTTGTACTGTTATCAGATATTTAATCGAAAATAAGAGCATGGAGTAGGAATGAATACAATACTTACAGAGAAAATGGTTTATTCAAAAACTAGTTAAACACTTTTATTTATATATGATTTATACTAATTTACCCACATCTATCTTCACAATGCTTTGTTTGTGTTTCGTCTTATTTTAACTCAAAATAACCAAAAATGATAGATAATATGACCTATAAATCTAAATTATTTATTCTATTTCGTTTCATAAAACAATATATATATACATGTGTCTATAAAAAATCTATTTATCTATTAACATTTTTTTCAATAATTCTTCATTTCTATTAACATAGATAAAAAACATTGGATCCATCATACATGTTGATAAATATTGTCGAATAAAATCTGTTCGAATATTCATTGTTGTTGATTGTTCTAATGCTAATGTATCTTTTGTTTCATTAAAAAATAATGAATAAGATTTTGTTGGTTGTGTTGATTCTATTCGACTAGTAAAATTATTTGGTGAATATATATTTATTGGAAAATAATCACGTAATAATTTCAAACACTCATTAAGATCTTTATCATTTGAGAATTTAATACGAAATGAACGTGTTAAATTTATTGATGAAGATGATGGTGGCCATGTATAATAGAAAAGAACACTTTTACAATGAACATGAATATATGTACAATTGAACATTAACCAAATATCTAGGATTAAAAAAGAAAATTACTTTATCGAAATGATCTATTCGAAGCGGAGAAAAGAGTTATTTCTTTAAATGACATTGAAGCAGTAAGTAGCAAGTGAAAGATGACAGATAATGACTTACTATACCTTCTCATCCTCGAAGCTTGTAGTAGAAGTTTTTGACTATGATGTATTATGAATTATAATGTGACTATGACATACCAATTAATTCTTCAATACATTGATCGGATGATACTATCATTAATTGTAATGCTGGTGTTATCATCATTTTTAATGGTGTTTGATTTACATCAAGACATGACCAGAAATATTCATTTTTCAATGTAGAATTCGTATTTAGACGTCGAGCATAATTAGTTAAATTCCATGAATGTATAGCAGGTATTAATGACATATTTCTAAAATGTAATTGCTTATTTCAACGGAATGACAAAAAGAAAAGACTTCTGTAAGTATGAATTATTTTAGCTACACAATACCAAATAAGCATTGCTAGTAAACAACAAGAATAACAATAATAATAACAAGAAAAAACATAGTTTATGACTGTTCACTATATACTAAAAGAAAAGAAAGAAGAAGAAGATTATCAATCTGACATAAACCGAATAGAATTTAATGTGGTCTTAATCGTGTAGTATGATCCGTTGATTGTTGACTTTCAATTTTTCCTGGTTTATTTTTAAGAAAATCTCTTATATGTTGAACAATAAGATCAACAGCAACATAATTATCAGCACCACGTGGTATAATAACATCAGCATATTTTTTTGTTGGTAAACAAAAATCTTCAAACGATGGTTTAACATGATTTGTATAACCAGCTAGAACGTGTTCTAAATTTCTTCCATGTTCTTTCATATCACGTAATACACGACGTGCTAAACGAGTATCAGCATCAGTATCAACAAATAATTTCATTTTAAATAAATTCTAATAAGAAAAAAAATAATACAAATTGTCTGTTATAACTTCTGTCTTTTAGAAAGACTTATTCAATACTGAAGATTAGATAATTTTCTTACTCGTATTTCTGGAAAATAGAAAACTAAAATTCCTTCTATTATAATAACTGGTACCGGTTCAATTGTATCCATAACTCCTTCTACATATTCATATCTTCCTGGATCATAACGAGCAATCTGAATTATAAATACGATTAAGTTTTTCTGGCTATTCTTGTCTCTTTTTTTACTTTAACAGTTTGACCATGAAGTAATTGTTCTAAAGTTTTCAATAAAAGTTTTTCATCGAATGCATCCGGATGATCAAGATTATAATTTCCACGTAGAGCTTTTTCACGTTGTTCAGCTGTTTGAGGTTTATAAAAATTCTCCATTGGTATAACTGTCACTCGATTTGCTTGATCAGCTCCAGCAGTTGTTTGAAGATCATCAACTATTTTTTGACATACAGTTGATTTACCTAAAGAAATATGTTAAATATACTTTATACAATATTAAGTGACTTACCAGAACAAGGACCACCAGCTACACCGATAAGAAATGGAACGATAGCAGTCATTCAAATAGATGTTATTATATTTTTTTATCTGGAATAACAAAAAAAATTATATTCATTCAAAACCTCCACTTACAAATTTAGGTGGATTTATTTTTTTTTCTGTAATAAAACTTTTTTTAATTTCTGGTTTTTCTTCAATAATTTCATCTGTTTTTCTCCATATATAAATATTTCCTTCTTGTGCAGTAAGTAATTTTTCATCTTTAGGATGATGTGATAATGTATTAACTGATTTTCGATTATCTACTTCATGTTCAACAGCACATATTTGTTCGGCTGTTAATAAATTCCAACATATTAAACGACCATCTTCTGAACCACTATATATAAATTGATCATCATTTGATAAAGCATTTTCAATCATATATGTATTATTTGTATAATCAACAAATGTTTGTAATAATTTTCCATTAATTTTATCAAATAACATCATTTGACTTGATAATGTTCCAACAAGAAAACATTGTTGATCATGTGAAATATTTATATATGTTAAATTATGTCCAATATAATCTTCATATAATTTACCATAACGTATATCATATATACGAACACGTTGATCAAGTGATGTAGTTAATAATTCATTATTACCTAATGATATACTTGTAACACTATCTTTAGCATCATCTAAGACTTGAATTGGATCATAGTCACGAGATTTAACATCCCAAATTTTAACAGTACCATCTATGGATGCAGAATAAATTATTGATGCTTCTTCATTAAAACGTACAGCTTGAACACGACCTAAAATTATATTAATTCAACTAATTTATTCATATGGAAATAGTGAAACGATTGGCAACAAGTTAGTCAATTTATAAAGCTAATACGGTATGTAGGGTGGGTGAGGATGGGTGTGGGTGTGTGTGTGTGAGGGTGTGGGTGTGTGTGGGTGTGTGTGGGTGTGTGTGTGGGTGTGTGTGTGAGTATTTATCGTCTCTTAACCCAAACCTTGACTAGTCGATGTAACGATTTTAGAAGAAGCCGAAAGAAAATACGAGAAAAATGATTAGAACAAACATCGATACTAGTCAATGACGACATCTAAGCATTTTCGACGTTTAGCAAGCAAATCGCTAATACATCGTAAGATGAAATAATAAAAAATATATATACCAGCATGTGCTTGATATTTTTTCATAATTTTACCACTCATTACATCTATATACAAAACTCGTTTATCAACACCACCTAAAAAAAAACGATAATAATCATTAATTTATCGATCACTTCTAAGATAAATACCAGAACATAATCGACTATTATCAAATGAACTATGTACATCGAGAACTTCTTGACTATGTCCTGTATATGTTTTGATTGCTAAACTGCTATCAGGTCTCCATAATTTAATTGTCCGATCACTACCTGATGTTAAACAATAAGTTCCATCAATATTATATCGTACACAACGTATAGCTCCTTGAGCAGCTGGAAATTTTCGTTCAAGCTAATTTAAATAAATAAATATAGGTAAAATAGATATGTATATATTTATACACGCACACACCTGCATTTAATTAGAGCACAAACATATACAAAGAAAATCTTAGATCTACAAAAAGAAGATAAAAAAATCAATCAATATATTTTGAACGGCTGTATTTATTGATAAATATATGTAAAAAAAAAGGAAAAGTGAACAATTTATTTAGTTACTATTAAAAATAAGTTCATAAGCATGGACAACTAAATTCGCAACTTCAGGTACTTTTGTTTTGAGTGAAAACTATAAAAGAAAATAAAAATATGTTGTTTTTTTTTAATTTAAGAAATAAATTTTATTTTCTTACCGCAATTGTTCGATTTCCTGGTGTAATTTTTAATTCAATTAAAATAAAAATTCCATTTGTTAATTTTATTGTTTGATAAAGCATTTCTTTTTGTTCAATAGTTGTTCGCGTTATTGTATGTATATTATTTAAACGTAATTTATTTTGTAAATCATCAATTGATAGATCATATGCATTTTGTAATTGATGTCGAACTTCATTACTTTCTGGTATATCATGCCAAGTTTGTACAAATGTCATTTTATCCATTTCACCATCGTTAACAAAATAAACATGAATTGGTACAATACAATTAAGATAAAAAACATCAAGATTATTTTTAATAGCAACTTGAAGATTTGTTAATGGATCAATTTTTGTTATTGGTCCAGTGTTATTTAAAACTAATTGAGCTGATACAGTTTGATTTGGAAATAATGGACTTGGTACATGTAAAGGTTGTGTTGGTGTTAAACCAAAACTATTACGATTTATTTGTAAGGCAAAATCATTCATTGCTTGTAATGCTTTATTGGTGAAATCCATTTCCATAAAAATTTGATTATTACGACGAGCAAATGTACCAGTTACTTCGAGACCTTTGCCTTTTGGAGCACTTAACCATACCTGTAGAAGAAAAATATAAATAGTTAATTTTTATAAATACATTTTCTCTATTTCGTCTTATTTTGTATTAATGTCTTAAGGCCGAAAGAAAAAATGTCGATAAACAAATGATAAAATGCCGAAATGAGAAATATCGAAGGAGGGAGAAATACCGACATAGAATCTGTTAAATAAGTGATGATGCCTTTAATCAACATTATATTTTATACAAGTGCAAATCGTTCATCATGACCTCAACTATTTCATCGTTATTGAATGAGAATCAAGAAAGCTCAGGAGCTACTGTCAGATGAACGAGAAGATATTTTTCTTTTCAGCCTTTCGACAGTATATCACAATCATAAGTGCTCAGCAAAGATCATCTTACTTCTTTCGGCATAGCGAATGTATTGTTGTTTGAAAATGAAATTCCAGGAGCACCAGAACTAAGATTTAAATCACCGAATAAATCATCAAGTAGATTTCCACCACTTGTATTTGCACGATTGGGTGGTATCGATGTATTTGTATTCATATTTGATGTTGAATTATTACCCATATTTGAATCAATTCCAAGAATTGATGAAAGTTCATCATCAAGTAAATTTGGTATAGCTGATGGTGCTCGTTGTTGTTGTTGTTGTTGTGTTTGACTGAAAATATCTATTCCTTGCGATGATGTATTTGGCATTGGACCCAATATATCAAAATCATCAATTAATGAACCAACATTATTATTAATAACAACTTGTTGTTGATAATTAGGTGATTGTACACCATTACCCATATTATCACTATCGTTATTATTAACGCCTGAACGAAGTGGTAGATTTTTTTTCGTTGCAAATCGTCCTTCAACAAATGTATTTGGTGGTTTATGATAAACTGAAGCTAATGTACCAATATGACAAATAAGTTCATCAAGAAGTGTTGGTTCTAATAAATCTGTTTCTTCAGAAATAAGTGGTTTTTCAGCTAAAATAACTTCTTTGGCTGCTTTTGGATCTGTTGATAAAAGTCGCCAATAAATATAACCACGATCACGTAAATCTGGATTATCTGTTTCTTGTGTAACAACAGTTAATACACGTGTAACTAATTCTTGTGGAGTTTCAGTTGGTTTCTTTAAAAATAATTTAACAATTGCTGTTAATAATTGTAATTGTACTTGATTATTTTCATCTTTAAAACCATCAAGAAAACCTTCAAGTAATTCATCAGCATTATCAATACGTTCAGCATATTCACCAACAATCCAAATCATTGATGCACTAGAATTTACAAAACATATATATGTATACATATTTCTATTTGTTTGAACTTACCGAGCTTCAGGTTCATCAAGTGAATCAAGATTTTCACATAATGTTGCAATAATACTTTCATATTTATTTGGATATTTTCTGAATATGTCCTAAAAGAAATTTTTTTCTTTATATAAGATTAAATATTAAAAAAAGAAGAATATCTACTTTAATAACAATAATGGCTTCTTGAACAACATAATTAACTTTTGTTTGAATAAGATCAATTAATGTACTAACACATCTTTCAGCTGCTTGTTCAACTTTAATAGCACATCGACCGATAGCACGAACTGCTTTACGAACAAAATCAACATCAACTTCCGTAGCATATCTATATTAAATTCAAATATTTCAAAATAAAAACAAAACATTAAATATAAAACTTACTCTTTTAATTCAGCTAAGACTTGTGCAATATTCGTTGCATTTGTTAAACGTATCATAATATCAAGTTTTTCAAGTTTAACATATATTGGATCGTTGTATTTAACAAAAAATACTTTCATTTCATTTTTAAGAATATCCGATCTAAATTATCAATTGAAAATAGTTGGATCAAATTTATGAAGAATAAATTATTTACCGTTTTTGAACAATTAAATTTATATTTCGTAAAGCAACATATTGAATTTCAGGTTCGGTTGATAAAAGTGTTACCAATGGTGGTGCTAATTTACGATATAAATTTTCGACAAATTCACTATTTTGATCAATTAATTCAAGAAATTTCATTAAAACCTATGTAATATATAATCTTAATTTTTGATATTCTTATCAATAGAAAATAATTACTTTAACAGCTGAAAGAACAACAGCTGAATTTGCATGAGCAAGTCGTGGTGTTATACGTTCACAAATACTTTGTGCATCTTTATCATCCTATATTCCAAAAATATAGAAAATTAAAATATCTTTAACTATAATACAAAATACAAACTCTTGGTGAATAATTAGCAATTGCATCAAGTATAAAAACTTGTCCCCATTCTGTACATTCATTTAATGCAGTTAAAAGTTTATTAACAGTTGGTCCATTTAAATCAAATATTTTTATTTGTGGTGATTGTTCTGATATTTCACTTAATGCTGCAACAGCATTTGCAACAACCTAAATAAAATCATATTTTTGTTATTTATTTATCTCGGAAATATTCTTTACCATTGGATTTGAATCTGATAATAAATCTCTTAACATATCAAGAAATCCTTGATCATCAACAAGTTGTTGATTAATATCATATAATTTTGCTACACAAACAGCAGCTGTTTTTCGTACATATGGATCTTCATCTTTTAAACATTTACGTAATGG